TGCCAAATTAATCCAGCTAATGCCATGAACAGTTCGCAAAGTTTGTAATTGCGTTTATAATTGCATGTTTGATCAATTTCTCATGTTTCCTACCTGCTCCTTGAGATCAGTTAACAGTTCGGGAACATCTATGAATGTACGTTGCCGTCTGTGCAATCAGGAGAACAGATTGCCTGACCATTACGTCGACCAAAAGCAGTATATGTAAATCGTCACGATTTTGGGCGTTTCCTGCACAATTATTTTACACTAAGTTGTGGGTCCCTTTCATGCAATAAAATTAAATGACAGCATGGAGGCTTTACTTGAGGGATATATTGTATTTAATGCGCACCATCTATCATATAACCAAGCGTTACATGCGATACAATACAATTAACTGAAAAGATACACGAAGAAATCACTAAATACAGTACTCGATTATTCTCAAAATACAAACATAAATATCCATACATAGGCATATACATGTACAAGTCACATAAGAAACACGGCATAAAATCCCGTGTTACCGGTTCGGTTACGCAACGGTTACATGGCGGTTATGCAGTGAAACCGTGTGTAACTGTCACGTAACCGTCGGACAATGGGGGTGGTATATCCATCGCGTAACCGTCAGCCGGAAATGCTATGTTTATCGTCCATTCAGTTCAATGTAAATCAACGATAATTTCTGGAAAAAACGAAGACTTCCTTTCAACGTTTATACGTACACTTCTAAATAAATGCAGAAATATACGCCAAATTACGTTGAAACTGAAACGGCATATACAACTGGGTAACCGATCATTACGTTAAAGATTTCCTGGTATTATTGTGTTCTTCCACGTCATGTACGCAGAGTACGCCCATTGTTAATTACGTTTATTTTTACTTTTTCGGAAACTACCTTATAATATTTATCCGTACATGGTGTGTATAACCGTTTAGAATTTAAAATGTGTATTAGCTATAAGCATAGGCAATATACAAAATTAGTCCAGATTCGTATATAGCGCCCTCATATAGCTTGTTTTTAAATTGCTAGTTAAGTACAATTACTCGCACATCATACGCCATCAACGACAAACACAGTCGAGGCTTGAAGATTGATGTACCCTCAGTCGTGCTTAGCTCTAATACATCACGCTTCTTGTACGTCTTTGTTAGATCAATTTTGTGACATTTCAAAAATCTAAAAAGTCTAGTTGGGATATGATAGAACGAAGTTCCGTCATATTTTACGTTTTGGAACAAAAACGTGTAAAGGGCTGCACTTGAACTCAACAAACAACACTGGGCAAAATCGTTGGTATACGGCTGGTACATTAGCGTATTCGCACGCGTATATTCCCGATATTCGTAGATATACGTTGGTCGGCGCACACGTACATTCAACGTATGTACGGGGAATACGCAACGTATATTCACACATTCGGAACATACTGATACGTAAATATACACAGCAGTATATTTACGCAGACCGGAAGTATACAGTCCGCACATACGTACACCTAATGCAGAACAATGCTGTCTAACGTATTCCTACGTATACGTAGTATATACGGACACGTGATAAACCACTGCACAGAGTTAATACTGACGCAGATCGACGTATACGTAGCGTATACGGTCACGCAATAAACCAGTGCACACAATCACCGTCCTCAACACCTCCTCAACACCCGGTTAAAAAACGATCTGACTTCTATTGTCCGTATGCGCGTTTCGATATTTATCTTTTTAATCCTCCCGCATCGTATCTACGTATATTTTGCGTATACTCGGCATATTTAAAGCGCATGCTATTGGCTGATTTTTCAGGAACATTTGCATACAGGTCACATATTTTAGGTCATGCTTCATTTCCGGTTAATCATTCACGTAGTAATTTGGTTCTTGGGCGCCGCACGTGCTTGTAATTTTTCTAGGTACTAGTATTTTGTTTATAAATAAAGTATCGATAGTATTACTCATGTTTGCTACCGCAACACATTTATTTATAAACACAATACAACAACCTAGCAATATCACGAGCTCCTGTTACAGTCATATACATGTAAAGATAAAGAAATGGTCGCATGCCACAGGAAATTAAACGTGGGAGGTGATTCACAAGGACATATTTGGCCACTCGATGTTCAACACAAGTAGGATCAGGGCAACGTG